AGGGGACCTGCAGGCATTTTCGGTCGACGAATCGTGCCTAGAATTCTGGCCGGCCAACTCTCACGTTGTCCTGAGACCCAGGCCTGGATATGTGCCCAAGGTTCCTACCACTCCCTTCAGGGACCAGGCAGTGAGCCTGCAAGCGCTGCTCTTGGAGGAGTCAGACCCAGCCCTAGCTTTTCTCTTTCCCGTCCGCGCTCTGCGGTTGTGCGTGGACAGAACACAAAGCTTCAGAAACTCAGACCAGCTCTTTGTCTGTTACGGAGGCCAGCAGAAGGGAAAGGCTGTCTCCAAACAGAGGTTAGCCCACTGGATAGTGGATGCTATTGTCTTGGCTTACCAATCCCAAGACGTGCCTTGCCCGTTCGGGTTGCGAGCACACTCAACTAGAAGTGTTGCTTCCTCCTGGGCGCTGGCTCAAGGCGCCTCTCTGACAGATATTTGTAAAGCTGCGGGCCGGGCGACACCTAACACGTTCGTTAGATTCTATAGCCTTAGTGTAGAGCCGGTATTTTCCTGTGTACTCGCGAAGGACCCGTTCTAGATGTCGGTTTGCAACGCCCCTCCCACCCGCTGGGCCAAATACGTGCGTCTATTGCTCCAATAGAGTTCCCCAAAAATGGCTAACCCTTTGAGTTCCTCCATCACCCCCCGGTAGTCAAACGTGGTGGAGCGTTTGACACCAGGCCTACACTCGTATGCATTGTGGAACCTGTGTTAGGCTGGGTGTCCATATGTAGTGGTCCCTGCGGCGATCCCATATGCGTATTCTTCCACGGTAGGCTGCCCAGTCCGACTAGCCCGTGTCTTTCCCTCTCTGCTGGTGTTCTTTCCCCCCTAGAACTAGGTTGGAAGCATCCCAGAGACTTCCTAATGTTGTACTACCCTAATTGTCTAGTCCAAATGTGTAACCGCCACATTTTACCTTCCTAAGGGCAGGATGTGGCCTCCGCAGCGTCCCCTTCCTTTCTAGGGCACGCTTTCCCAGCGTTATCCAATAGTCACACTGAGTGGGTCTTGCGGAACAGCAGTGACTGACCTTCTCTGCTTAGAGCCCTGACTCCCGCTCCAACAGTTGGGGGCGGTCCAGGAGTCTCAAGCAGAGCGCTGGAAGGACCAGCGACAGTGGCGTGTTGGTAGATATCCCCAATTCTGAAAGGGAACATCTCGGTTACGTATGTAACCCTCGTTCCCTGAAGGAGGGAACGGAGACATACGTCCTGTCGCCACAGTCGTTGTACCTCCGCTGTACGGCCGAGTCACTAGCTCGGCTCCTCAGCGGAAAAGCAAATATGCAATGCACCTGCTGCTCATTAAATACTCGCGCTGCAGCGCAGAGCAGCTGTGGCAATTATCGCATGCCAATGTGCATTGGCTCATTTTTCTTACACTCGAAGTAGATTGGTCTCCCAAAGCGATCCCCAATTCGTCGGTCAGTTCCGACATACGTCTCCATTCCCTCCTTCAGGGAACGAGGGTTACATACATAACCGAGACGTTTTTGCTTTAAACGGTAACACTTTATAATAATGTTCTGTTAAGCATTTATGAACACATAGCAATGTTTTGTAAATGATTAGTTCATCATTAACTAATTACTTGTAAATGACTTGTAAATGAATTAACAAAACATACACAAATTGTTAGCATATCACTTATTAATCGCTTATCAATGTTTTGTAAATGATTAGTTCATCATTAACTAATTACTTGTAAATGACTTGTAAATGAATTAACAAAACATACACAAATTGTTAGCATATCACTTATTAATCGCTTATCAATGTTTTGTAAATGATTAGTTCATCATTAACTAATCACTAATAAATGACTTACAACTGAACATTATTATAAAGTGTTACCCATAAATCATATCTAAACAAAACAATAACATCAGACGGGTTGAATGAGACGCAAATTCGCTCTCTGACAGCAGGTAGTGCTTAAGGAACAGCCACAATATAACGTTTTCTTGGTTACAGCTGTAAACAAACTACTTTAGTTAAGTAGTGCAAACACTGCTTTAATTGTGGAACCTGTGTTAGGCTGGGTGTCCATATGTAGTGGTCCCTGCGGCGATCCCATATGCGTATTCTTCCACGGTAGGCTGCCCAGTCCGACTAGCCCGTGTCTTTCCCTCTCTGCTGGTGTTCTTTCCCCCCTAGAACTAGGTTGGAAGCATCCCAGAGACTTCCTAATGTTGTACTACCCTAATTGTCTAGTCCAAATGTGTAACCGCCACATTTTACCTTCCTAAGGGCAGGATGTGGCCTCCGCAGCGTCCCCTTCCTTTCTAGGGCACGCTTTCCCAGCGTTATCCAATAGTCACACTGAGTGGGTCTTGCGGAACAGCAGTGACTGACCTTCTCTGCTTAGAGCCCTGACTTCCGCTCCAACAGTTGGGGGCGGTCCAGGAGTCTCAAGCAGAGCGCTGGAAGGACCAGCGACAGTGGCGTGTTGGTAGATATCCCCAATTCTGAAAGGGAACATCTCGGTTACGTATGTAACCCTCGTTCCCTGAAGGAGGGAACGGAGACATACGTCCTGTCGCCACAGTCGTTGTACCTCCGCTGTACGGCCGAGTCACTAGCTCGGCTCCTCAGCGGAAAAGCAAATATGCAATGCACCTGCTGCTCATTAAATACTTGCGCCGCAGCGCAGAGCAGCTGTGGCAATTATCGCATGCCAATGTGCATTGGCTCATTTTTCTTACACTCGAAGTAGATTGGTCTCCCAAAGCGATCCCCAATTCGTCGGTCAGTTCCGACATACGTCTCCATTCCCTCCTTCAGGGAACGAGGGTTACATACATAACCGAGACGTTTTTGCTTTAAACGGTAACACTTTATAATAATGTTCTGTTAAGCATTTATGAACACATAGTCATGTTTTGTAAATGATTAGTTCATCATAAAATTACTTGTAAATTAATTAACAAAACATACACAAATTGTTAGCATATCACTTATTAATCGCTTATCAATGTTTTGTAAATGATTAGTTCATCATTAACTAATCACTAATAAATGACTTACAACTGAACATTATTATAAAGTGTTACCCATAAATCATATCTAAACAAAACAATAACATCAGACGGGTTGAATGAGACGCAAATTCGCTCTCTGACAGCAGGTAGTGCTTAAGGAACAGCCACAATATAACGTTTTCTTGGTTACAGCTGTAAACAAACTACTTTAGTTAAGTAGTGCAAACACTGCTTTAATATTGTGACGAGTGGGGTGGGGCCGAGAGCCATGGGAGCGGAGCGAGGTCGGTGGAGTAAATGATAATGAGCGACACCTGCGCCACTCACCGGTCTCGAGTCCCATGGAGGAGCTCCAGCCAATGTAACAAAGTTCGTAGATCGGGAAGGAGGAGGCGGGAACCGGCGAACATTTAAACATAACTTTAATAATAAAATAAACACAAAACTGAAAATAGCGCGACAGCCCCTCACAAATGACTGCCGCGCACAAACAGAAACAAAACAACATAAAATCCAGGCCTGGTCCTCTCTCGTCTTGCACTGTCGTCACTCCTCCTTTTAGCCCCACTCGTCACAAATATGCATTATACAGAGGCAAGATGAAAAGAAAATACCATCTAAACTTTTCTGAGGACAGTCAGTTTCTCTCAGAGATACATTCATATAAACCCCACATATATATTCATAATACAATCCCCGCCCCCAATTGTATCGTAACTGTAACATCTCAAACGACTTGAATTGTCACATATTTTTTATTGATTTTCAACCAGCTTGGCATGCATCATTAGATCCCTAGATCAGATTATTTTAAACCGGTAAACTACTGGAAAGTTCAAAACAAACGTTTGAAACAAACGTTTGCAAGTCCTGACCGATGTACTGTAATTACCTCACCAACCAGCTGTTAATAATCTGTTTGTCACGGACTACGTGACTTCGCCACTTTCTGTGGATTTTTTACCTGCAACTAAGCGACAAATAACATAATAACATTTTGATAGACTAAGCAGTTAGTCAACTATTAGGGGGCAGCCCTAATGAAAAGAGACACTGTCATCGGTTTCAAGGTAGCCAACTACTCTAACTAGCCATGCTCAGTAATACTGTTTGTATGACCTATATAACAGTGCCTGAAAAGGGTGTAGGATCGTTTTGTTCATAATTTTTAACATTACAGATAGTTCATGGGTAAAAGTACACCCTGATATGTATGAATAAAATGGTCAACTAAACAATTCTGTAATTTAATTTGCAGAAAGCAAATAATTGCTCAAAATTATGCCACAATGCAAAATAATAAGCATAATTTCCATTTCCAAAAGCACAAACATAACATTTGAAAAGTTACTGGAAACAGTATATTCACCGTTTCTGAACATTTACCTTTAAATTGTAACATATTTGGATTATCATGTGTAGGATGATGATGATGATGATGATGATGTGTCAGCCAATGTGTTATTATAGCAAATAAATATACACACTTGCTAATTTAGTTGTTATAGCACAAAATGTAAACTATTCAAAGAGGTGTAAGATGACCTGGAGTAAGAATATAATTTTGATATAGTATAATTCTTCTTATTATTGATATTTTTTAAAGTGTAATATAAAATACTAAATCAACTATTATATTTAAAATTTTATTTTGACAATTTCATTGAATAATTGAATAACTGACAATCCCTGTAAAACAGGTTCATCTGAGAGTTAAAAAAGAGGCACATAAATATTAACAATTAACAAATATCAAGTTCAAGTTAGTTTTATTTCTAGAGCACATTTAAGCATGGAACAGGGCCGACCAAAGTGCTGCACAACAAACAATAAAATACAATAAAGAGAGAAAAACTGTAAACAAGAATAAAAACCATGCAAAACAAACAATAGCTACATATTAAAGGCCAAAGAGAAGAGATGGGTTTTAAGATAGGACTTGAACTCAGATAAAGTGGATGCCATTCTAATGTGAACTGGTAAGTTGTTCCAAAGAGTGGGACCAGTCACATCAAAGGCTCTAGATCCCCTGGTCTTAAAGTGAGTTCTATATCACTTGCCCCTGATGTTATCAAATCCTAGAAATGCACCTGGTGTAGATTATATGACAAAATGCTTAAACTTATATATGATTATATGATGAAATTAGTCTATAAAATAAAGATTAGCAGATTTTTGAATCCCATTCTCAGTCACTCTATATGATGAAAGAGTGAATGCTAAAGACCATCATCTCTGTGTGAACTGGTAATTCTGTTGAATATTAAACATCTTCATGAGTGAATATGAATATGAGCACTGAAATAAATAAGTACTATTCCTGGCTGGTGGAATGATCTTCCCACCCCTATCCGGAATGCTGATTCCCTGACAATTTTCAAGCGACAGCTTAAAACGAATCTCTTTTGTCACCATTTGACTTCATCTTAAAAAACAAAACAAAAAAAACCTTGCTCTCTCTTTCCTTAATCTCTCCCTGTGTATCTTGTACTAATCTGAACAATGCCTTAAACTTTGTATTGCAAGCACTTCCTTTGTTTATTTGCATCTTTATGATGAGTCGCTTATTGTATTCCTCAATTGTAAGTCGCTTTGGATAAAAGCATCTGCTAAATGAATAAATGTAAATGTAAATAAATGTAAGTAAGATGTTCAGCTGTTTCCCAAACTGATAGGATACTAAGCTGCTCTGAAAACACTTAATCGTGAGCAGCATGCGAGTTTGTGTAACTGAAACATACAGTACATGCACACTACATTTAATAAAAAACAGCCTTTCTCAATTCACTAATCACACTCAGCCATCCGACAATGGGATCAATCGTTTGTAAGCTATTAGATCCCTGCATAAATAAAGCAGTAGTTTTGTGTGTCACCTGGGGTCAGAGGTCACTGCTTCATCACTGAATGAATGAGGAAGATACATGGATCTGTCACTCTTCAGAGACACACAGCTGTGATCAGGAGATGAAGATCTCTGACTGCTCTCTCTGTTCTCCATAATCACAAACTGACTTCAGTCCTGCATATGGAAACACAAGAGAACAAATGACAAAAAATGACATAACATTCTGTCTATTCCAGTGATACAAACCACACACACAATGACATTCAAGAGAATTCTGTGCTTCCAACCTTGTTGCAGCAGTTTGTGGAGGATCCTTTTGTGCACCAAATCGACAAAGCCATAAAGTAAATAAAAGTAAATGTTCATATAATGGTTTATATGTACAAAGCCCAGATCTGAACCCACATCAGTGCAGCGACACACATTAATTCTGAATCAGTGTTGATTCCCTGAACCATTCAGTTCATCACGTGTTGCTAAATCTCCACTGAACTAACATGAGCTCTAAATAACTGAATGTAGTTTTTCCTATGTCAGGATTCACCACAGTATCATAAGTGGAAAGAGAAACTGGATGAGAGCTGCTTTAAATATTTAATATTTGTATATTGCACACTATTATTCTTCGCAAAAATATATGTATGTGAAAGGAGAATGTATGTGTGTGTGTGTGTGTGTGTGTGTGTGTGTGTGTGTGAGAGGAGAACAAGGTCACATCACAGGAGAGTGAACTGTCTGTCAGAAATCATAGCACGTCAGCTGTCTTAACCGCGGCTTGTGTAC